GCCGACCCCATTGGTGAATATTTATCTTCACATCCACCCTGGTTGACCCCACTAATTATAACTTTTCATAAAAACTTCGAGAAGCCTCATCTCGAAGGACGTCACTAATCAGCGCTGCAGAGTATTTCGGTTTGGATGTTTGTGAGAATTAATTTATTGATTGATCCCAAGGTGGTATTCATTACTGACTAACATCCGTTGGAGAAAGATCGAGAACCTGAGAACATTCAGTACACTTTTCCACCTGTTCTGGGGCTCTTCAGCAGTGAGAACCAACAATCCATGTGGTTGTTCAGCTCCAGGAGGGGAAACACTTTAGTAATGGATGAAAATCAAAGATTGAAGGAACTAAAGTATTTGAATAAGATTTTTACAATGAATAATTATCCGGTGAAATTCATTCGTAGAGTAGAAAATAATATTAAACTGGAACATACAGTCACGCACACGTTCAGAATGAGATCAAGTGATTGTCCTACAAATGTAGCTTCAGAGTGTTCTACAGAACACCAGACACATTCTACAATACCTTAGTTCATGTGAACGACAAAATCCCTCGAGATTCATAATCTAATTGTGTTTATAAAATAAACTGCTCAAACTGTGGTGCAACATATGTAAGATAAACTCCACTTGAAATCAGAGTTAGAATGTAGTGAACCCCGAAGGGCTTCCACTCAACCCCCTATAAATGCAGTAGAGCTGAAAAAGCTTGGAAACACTTCAGCCATAGATTTATACCCTCTAATTTCTATGTTTCAAAGTCAAGTTTAACAATATCGAAATTAAAAGGAAAGGCTTTAGACATCATAAGTAACATCTCACAGCAGAATCCCCACACGTAAAGTGGAATCACAGGTGTCTAAAAAGAATGAAGTAACAAAGCATAGCTTAACGTGGCTTCATTTTATTCCCACACACACACACACACACACATTGGACTAATCAATACATATACACTAAGAACTACACAGACCCCAAGCTGCAGTTCACGCAATCACTATGTTTAAAACATCAGTCATATTCGTCACCTTTCTTAACAACTTTACAATACAGAACCATCCTTTCGAGGGAAATCTCAATCCCAGTTATTATTTGCTTCATGGTGGCTAACCGTCAAATCCAGGTAGCACGATTAATCCCTTTTGCGACTCATAAACTGGATGTCCCTGTATCCCAGTGAGTGATGGTGTCCTCACTGAGACTTGAATTCTGTAGTCATCGCTTCAATCGCCAGATGGTTACCCATTAGGCGAAAAAAACTACTCTGATCTGTTCACTGGGCATTTTCCTGTTAACCACGAACGCTATTAAATAGCTCTGATGTTTTAGTAGGCTAGTGGATAACCCTTCGGCGTTTGAAGAGATATGAATAATCAGGTGATATCGAGGCATCTGTATAAGAATCAATCTGCCAACAGAGACCGAACGATTCTATCCTATTTACTAATGGGAAATTACAAGTACTTAAAATATCAATGAAATAACTTACATTTGTAACCATTAACAGTCCAACCATGTATGATGCCAAGCACACACAACCGACAAATCCTAAACGAACCCAAGTCTTTGCCAATGCATGAGGAAAGTAGTCTGCGGCAACTGTGATGAAACCTTCAACTCCACAAAACTAAGTATTCAACATGTGTTAAAAATAAGTTGTTGTTTTAACGAAAAAATATATTTTACTTTTAAATTACTTATCATGATACTGTTGAGAAGCTGTGACCTATGAGATCAATAAAGATAAATGTACACCTATGATACTGAATGATAGCGCTATATAGCGAATTGACAGAAGTAAGAAAATGTGAATTATTGAACCGAATGGTTTAATGGCAAGGCTCTCGCCTTGAGACCTGAAGTTCCTCAGTTCTATTTTTATTGGGGTCACCGATGTATGGTGCTGAATTTCATACTTGGAGGAAACCGCTTTCCAGTGCTTCAGCTGATGTCAGTCGGTGATAAATACCACTTTGAAATTAATCAATTCCCAAAAGCTGCGAAATCAAAAGACCTCTGACGGTTCTGTATTAGAGGTGAATAATCCATGCATCTAATCATCTCCTACTTGAGACTAATCGTGAATAAACATGGTACTTAGCAAAGGCTTTAATTGTTTAGTTGGAGAATGTGGACACACTTTACGAACAAGTGTCAGTCATTGATGACTGAACTAGAAAGACATACAAAGTCTCTGCCGTTCACTAAATTGATGTATTTATATTTGAGTTAGCCAGGTTTACTAGCGTATTACTACTACTACTACTACTACTACTACTACTACTACTACTACTACTACTACTACTACTACTACTACTACTACTACTACTACTACTACTACTACTACTACTACTACTACTACTACTACTACTACTACTACTACTACTACTACTACTACTACTACTACTACTACTACTACTACTACTACTACTACTACTACTACTACTACTACTACTACTACTACTACTACTACTACTACTACTACTACTACTACTACTACTACTACTACTACTACTACTACTACTACTACTACTACTACTACTACTACTACTACTACTACTACTACTACTACTACTACTACTACTACTACTACTACTACTACTACTACTACTACTACTACTACTACTACTACTACTACTACTACTACTACTACTACTACTACTACTACTACTACTACTACTACTACTACTACTACTACTACTACTACTACTACTACTACTACTACTACTACTACTACTACTACTACTACTACTACTACTACTACTACTACTACTACTACTACTACTACTACTACTACTACTACTACTACTACTACTACTACTACTACTACTACTACTACTACTACTACTACTACTACTACTACTACTACTACTACTACTACTACTACTACTACTACTACTACTACTACTACTACTACTACTACTACTACTACTACTACTACTACTACTACTACTACTACTACTACTACTACTACTACTATACTACTACTACTACTACTACTACTACTACTACTACTACTACTACTACTACTACTACTACTACTACTACTACTACTACTACTACTACTACTACTACTACTACTACTACTACTACTACTACTACTACTACTACTACTACTACTACTACTACTACTACTACTACTACTACTACTACTACTACTACTACTACTACTACTACTACTACTACTACTACTACTACTACTACTACTACTACTACTACTACTACTACTACTACTACTACTACTACTACTACTACTACTACTACTACTACTACTACTACTACTACTACTACTACTACTACTACTACTACTACTACTACTACTACTACTACTACTACTACTACTACTACTACTACTACTACTACTACTACTACTACTACTACTACTACTACTACTACTACTACTACTACTACTACTACTACTACTACTACTACTACTACTACTACTACTACTACTACTACTACTACTACTACTACTACTACTACTACTACTACTACTACTACTACTACTACTACTACTACTACTACTACTACTACTACTACTACTACTACTACTACTACTACTACTACTACTACTACTACTACTACTACTACTACTACTACTACTACTACTACTACTACTACTACTACTACTACTACTACTACTACTACTACTACTACTACTACTACTACTACTACTACTACTACTACTACTACTACTACTACTACTACTACTACTACTACTACTACTACTACTACTACTACTACTACTACTACTACTACTACTACTACTACTACTACTACTACTACTGCTGGCGTATTCCTTCTCTCAAACAGAGCTTGTTGGTGCTTTCCACTGCTGAGGCTTGAATCTTGTCCACTAGAATTGGTGTATGTAAACGGAGATGCTTTCCAATATATCCAGAAAAGGTGCTAAGTCATTCTTGCTATATGAATTTGTTGTTGATTTGGTGAATAAAGGATGATTTCGACACATTTATATTGTTATCATACATCTCGATTCTCAGTACGAGGGATTCAGCAACTGTTCTAAATGTATGAAAAATTCCATTCCTCTTATCACAAGGTAGGTGATAGTATTAGAACTATATAAACCATGTCTGAAAGTTGTATTACTATCTTGGTCTGATTATGAACAATGAATTATATCCAAAAGGTAATCCAGTAAACAGTAATACTGTTTCACTATGTGAGATACATCTAATAAACAAACACAAATAAAAATGGAATTGTTTTCCTATCCATCAAATGTTTTTAAGATGTGAAAGTCGTGTGAGTTTGTTGACTAGTCAGTGAACAAAAGGACTACATATTTCATTAAATCGGTCATTGTATTAGATTGTAATTGCAAATGATATAAGTTTATCCGGTATAGTGCACAGGGAAACAGTATCCTTAACTGGTAGATTATAAATAATGATGATACTCAATGTGACTGTTTGACATAGCCGCGTTTCGACAGACGCTTATTACTGATTCTGTTTGATCATTGAAAGTGATATGAAAACTTGAGTCTTAGAAGGTTTCAGTAGCAACAGTCTGTCAAACGACGACTATGTGAGATAGTCAAACTGATAATTATCAATATGATGCTCCCCCTGTCTACTTCAAATTCATTTTGATTAAGACGAAGAGACGTCACTGGGCAGCTGGTGGTGATTATGAGGAACAGATAGTTAGCTAACATCGATTCAAATGGTTGTAAGGCTATAGGCTATGCGATAGAAGTGAAGTTAAGACTTAGTCACCAGGTGCGCTTTGTAACTAAGTTGTTGGAACAACAGGCTGTTAAGTCAGATGTAGCTGGTTTCAATCCTCCCATGACCCATTTTTATTATTATTTTACCTTCAATCATCACAATGCATCAATAATATGAATAATGATATGGTTTAGTGAACTTATCTCATATAGAAGTGAGTATTCGGACAACATAAGCTAATCTTTGACATTCTTCAGCGTAACAACTAGTCGCAGGTATCACTGAAAAAACAGTTGTCAGTCAACTTAATATATTGTTAATGCCATCACTTACCATACTGTCAATACCGAGGAGAATGATCATAGTAAAGAAACAGATCGACCAGAATGGACTGCCCGGCATTGTGCCTATCGCTTTTGGATAGACAACAAATCCCAATCCTGGACCAGATTCAGCGATTAAATTCAGTGGTATATTCGATGTATACGCCATATAGCCAAGTGTAGCGAAGATAACACATCCAGACAGTAGGCTTGTACATGTATTTGCCACAGCGAATAAGACACAATCTCTGAAAGATAGTGCAAGTATATGAGACAGGCGTTTATTAACGGTTAATTGACCAAATCAGATGTATGAAATGAAACTGGATAACTGACCAGTGGAATTTGGAAGGTATTCATGACTGAAACAGACATCTAATGGTCTTTGAATAGCGTCTTCGAAAATGCACTGCTCTCTCTTATTCTGAATTTGATTTATTCCCTTAGTGCTGTCTAAGAACGATTGGTCTCACGCTTATCGATGTTTATAGCTAAGGTTCTTTCTATCGGTCACTTTTTAGTTCATTAGCATTAAGGTCACTTGTAATCAGTACGCGTATTTGTGTTGCGTTCTCGTGTACACCACATACGGGTCACAACTCCTCACATACTTTACTGTCTAACAAGTTAACCACCAAAACCGTACAACGTACAACCTTGGTGTTCCAAAGCGTAAACAAGGTCCATAACCGTAACTATCTTCCCCTTCACATGCTCATGTAGGCGATCGCGTCACGAATCACGTTCTTCAAGAACACCTTCAGGACATCACGAGTTTCCTCATAGATCAAGCCAGAAATACGTTTTCACTACCACGAGGAGCCAGACGTCGGATAGCGGGTTTTGTAATACCATGGATTTAGTTGCGAAGCACCTTCCTATGTCTTTTAGCTCCTCCTCTGCCCGAATCCTTTCCACCTTTACTGAGACCAGACATCTTTCATTGTGAGAGTAAGTCAGCTTGTCATGAACCAACATGAGAATTGAATTGTTTTGAATTTCAGTTTTGTCAAATTTTACCTAAAATTTAATGGCATTACTGGACAGTTCATCTCCAGAGCTTTGTATCAACACTTCAGTCATCAATTTCCAAACCATTAATGGATTCGCAGTAATAGCCGACTGTTAAAAGTTAATAATTATTGTACAATAAATTCATTTTCTCTGTATGAGGGATTTCAGTTTTGTGAAGAATGGTGTGACGTGAGCATTTAAATAACCAATTATATCTCAGCATTTCACAAAAAATTACCATTCCAACCGAAGAACAGAAGCCTAATATTCGGAGTCATCTTAAATTATTATAAGGTTGTTGAGTGTAAGGCAGGTAAGTTTGAGTCTCTCACCATGACTAATCTATCGGTGAATTATGCATACCAGAGGCTAAAACTATAAGCGTAATCAATCTCATTTGCACAGTTACGTGATCACAACTTTCTCTATCCACAATCATAACAAGTTTGTGTGAATGCTATTCCCAGTGAAGAATATCGTTTGACGAAAATTCATTAAATGTATGAAAAGAATTGGTGGACCTCTGTGGCATATGGGCTCCTACGTGTATACCTCGATACTGCAGGACGCTCGTGTTAATGACTAGCAATGGAATTCAAGACGCACTTTTTGTCCTATTTGGGACTGGTCAGCCTGATGTACCTACACCTCAGTGAGTGATGTTCCAACTGAGACTCGAGCTCAGCACCTGTCGCTTCAAACTCCAAAACGTTATCCACTACCCCCTTTTGCTCAATAAGTATCAGTTATTGTTTTTATACAGGGCTGAATTGCCAACTATCTAAAAAAGGATGGAGTTATTGAGTCATTTAATTGAATAACGCTGTTTGGTTTTAGACGATTTACAATTGATGATTGGACTGAGGAAATGACAGAAAGGATCCGCAAGTCAATTACTAAAAAACTCAGAGAACCTACTCAAAAGGATGCCGACTGATAAAAAAATCTCAGTTTGACTATTTGAGATAGCCGTGGTAGATTTGTATTACTGATTTGTGTTAAAACTACAAATGTCATGAATTCACATGATAGTCCAGCAAAAGCCTTGGAGATTGAAGTGAAATTAGTTGACAGAGCACTAAAGCGATAATCCGTAAGCCTCTGGTTCGATTCCTGTCACGACTTAGACTTTCATTTCATCTTTAACCATGTATCACCCAGTATAAATGAAATCCATGAATGAACTCAGACCCTGGGGATCTCATTTGTAACTATGGACAATAGAACTTACATAAGATGGATATATCGATGAGGCCTATTCTGTGGGGTCCCAAGAAAAAATGCAGGAAGAGTTTCATCCAGTTAAAAAAAATATCTGCACAATAATGGTTATCTAAAGAAGTTCGCGCAGAAATACCACGAAATCAAAGGGAAAAGAGCGAATATGCTGAACGGTCTACGTCTAAGATCTTCATCTTCAATAAGCAGTGCGATAGCTGATCACTTATGTGATACGGGGCATACGACGACGTTCTTCATAGTAGTTAATAGACATATGATCCGAAGCTTACTTCGAATTGAAAAAGCTGTTACTATCTGACTAGTTCAACCTGTACTTTGTGTTCGATTGAAGGCGGTTACCAACTTATTATTGTCCTGGTCCTTTCCAAAAAACATTTTCGTTCCTTTATTTCCTACTTGTCATCGTTCTTGTTCATGGAATAACAGTTCCTTCAAAGGTTTAGATAAGCCTTGCTGACGAGTCCCAATAAGCCTGAAACCTGAATAAAACCCACCTTCCTACCAGTTGTCTTCAACTGTCTAGCGTCAATCAAAGTGCACCGTGATGATGAGATTCCTAGCCTGGTAGCACATTTCAAAAACCTGATCGATAACACTTAGTAAGCACTTAGGACTGAACAAGGTGAAATCGGTTACCTTCCAGTGAGCAATCATTGTGACTAATATATTTATAGCTAGTGCTATGATTTTATCTCATTCATTTATCATCTTGTTAGGATGATATTTTCACAGGATTATTTAACCGCTTCAATTTAGTTCTAATCTCATCTTAACTCATCCGCGAACACTACTCACCTTGCTACATATAACATGTCTCTAGCTTGACTGAATTACTACCTAAATCTCCTTTGTGCTCTGAACTAAAAGGTTTTCTTCTGATCTATGTGGTTGATGAAGATCCAATGAACTAAGTTTGACATCATCAAGGTATGAACATTTTTCTCAAGTAGCTAGCAGGTATTCTGGCGACTTAAACAAATTCATCTCCCTGAGCTCAACCATTCTGTATACATGGGTGATGAAGTCGACTTTTCAGGTTTTGAAGCTTAACGAAAATCTGTATTTAAAAGAAGTTTATCCAGTCGCTTGATTTGCAACGGATATGATCTGTAAGAATTCTTTACCCTACAAAATCTTGCTTATCAGTATACTACATCTTCTCTCTCATATGTCACGTTCTTCTACCCTTAAAATTCTGATTTCTCATTACACTCATTAATTCCTCTTTAACTATATTATGACATCCAGTTTGCTAAGTTCATATTGCTTCTGTCTTGATAAGCCTTCTTCCCAAGACTGGTTTAGACATTATGTAATTATTTATCCTATCTCATGATTTATAACCAAAGTTGAATTTTATTTTGAAAAAAATGCATCTTCTAAAACATTTCTTTTCTCTTACTATGTAAACACAATATTTATGTACGATTGTACAACTTGAGAATGATATCACTGAACAGAATGACTCTTCTGTAAACAACTTTTTCAAGACGATATTGCCTATAAGATCATTCATTTATGAATGCATATTCATACTAGCAAGTGAATTTTTTGACTCACCTAAAAGAATTATGCTGAAATCTGTTATAACTGCCGAATGCATTCAGGACGCCTAAACCGATACTGTAACTGAAGAAGATTTGTGTTCCAGCATCAGACCATACCTTGAAGAAGAGAAGTGAATAAATTAAATAATTATTACCTATCTATCTTACACTTGAAACCTATAACGTATAAACAATAACTGTATGTAGTATCGTACTCGCTTAGGCGGTACATATACTAAAATTGGAACGATACAGAGAAGATTAGCATGGCCTTTGCGCAAGGATGACACGCAAAATCGTGAAGCGTTCCATATTTTTTTTAACCTCGCCTGGTTAACTAGTTCACTAGTTACTAGCCGGTCCTAAGCCCGGGTAAACAGGGAAGGTTGGGCATAGCGCTAGCAACCCTACACCCTAAAACAAATCTAACCACTAAACAAACTTCAAAGCACAAACGATATGTAAACAATAATAACAAAATTATTCCTCCCTGGAATCGGAGAGGCAAAATGACGCCAGTTGGTGAAAGCCTTCGGAAAGCCAATTGGCCGATGTGTCTTCTCTCCCTCGATGAAAGCGAAAGTAAACATGAGGACATGGAATGTCCTCACCATGTTTGAACCCATCAAGGCAGCCCAGATTGTAAACGAGATGAAGAGGTATCACATTGAAGAGCTTGGAATTTGCGAAAGCAGATGGAATGGAAGTGGACTCTCCAAACTGTCAACTGGAGAATCAATAATCTACTCCGATGTTGTCACCCAGACGACACGACAACCACGAGCACACTGAGTTTTGGAGTGGATATCATGATGTCCCCTTGAAGAGCATCAAAGGCTCTCTCTCATGCAGTGGGAACCAATCTCCCCCTCCACGATAACGATCATGACAGCAAGATGGATTCAACTCAAAAGGAAGGAATGAAGGAAGGTCACAATCATACAATGCTACACTATGCTCCTACAAATAATGCAGATGCAGATGAAGAGAGGGAGGAGGAGGAATTCTACAGACAACTTCAATCAACACTGGACAAGACCCCACCCAAGTTGGCGACGGCGACATCAAAATTCTAATGGGTGGGGTGACATGAATGCGGAACTGGGAGCAGACAACACAGGAAGAGAACAAACCATGGGTCGAGAAACACTCGGTGAGGTGATGAACGAGAATGGAGAATTGTTTGCAGAATTCTGTGCATTCAACGATTTGATGATTGGAGTCAGTCAGTCAGTCAGTCAGGCAGTGTGTTCAAGCACAAGGATATCCACAAAGCGAGTGACATGGAGTTGATTTCACCAGACACCAGGACACACTACACTGAAAATCAGATCGACTTTATCTGAATGTGAAGAAAGTGGAGACG